AAAATATTGCTTCTTAGATTCCCGAATACACGTTAACCGTGACAGATATGTTAAAGTATATCTCTTGAACGCAGTATTTAAGAAGTGAGATAATACCATAATAAACAAAACGAAACTTTTAATGTCGATTACGATTTCTTGCCTTAATTAAAATTACCGGATTGTTTTAACAACAGATAGTTTTATTTTAAATAGGCTTACATCAACAATTCTGCATGCACCAGGAAAGGGGATGCTGGCATGGTTTTTTTTTGCTTCGAAGTTTTCGATTGGGGTAGCGACTGGGGGGCGCGACTGGGGGGAGGGCCCCCAGTCGCAACAGAGGCGTATCCACCTTGGATACGCCTCTGTTGGAGACTCACTTTAAGTAATAATCAGATATGCCTGCCTCTACTTCAAACGTGACAATATTATAGTGCCTACCAATATTCAAGCTACATTATACCAAATCAAGAGTGAGTCGTTTGTCGTCACAGTAATTACTACACACTAATTGAATATTCTAGCTATTGTTCGTTTTTATTGTTTGTCTATTTACGGAGGCATCTTCAAGGTGCCCTTTATTGATTGCTATCTCCGCGGCACTCGTTCACGTAATCCGGTTGAGTACGATGCTTTAAAAAATGTCGTGAATAATATTCATCAGAAAAAAAATCATGTAAACCCCAGCAAAGTTTCATGCACATTATTCTGAAAAACGTTCAAGTGAACTACAAATGAGGACGTGAAGTAGAACCCTAAGCTGATGTAAACAAATCATGATGATAAATGATGAGATAATGATGATGAAGAGTAGACCTATGACTCATCCTAAATTAATGCTTAACATTTGAGACAAATGTCAAGCTCTACTATGTCTGTAGTCCATGTTGAACATTCCAAAAAAATGATTATGTTGTAATTATGATTCCCCAAAAACATACAGTATGTTGCGGTTGCTCGAGTCCGACAGACCCACAATTTAAAAACTCTAGGTTCAAAACTTTTTTTTGTCAAAATCATCATTAACCAAAACACGCCCAAAAAGTGTTTTATCTGATACTTTTTTCAATAATTATTGTCGTGGTTGAGCAACACAAACATTTTGCCATAAATTTAAAGGCCACTCTGTGGGCCTAAGTTATCAAGTTTCGACAAGTCTAAAATTGTTTAAATAAACGTATAATTGTCAAGCAAAGAATGTTGCAACAGCAAAACTGAATGACGTAAACATTTGTAAAGGTTAAGGAGGGACTTTTTCGATAAGTACAAATGGCGCTGTTACGCGCGATTTGCTGACAAGTGGAGATTATAGTAATCCTTTACTTAGAACTCAGACAAAAGTGTAGTTCCAAACATTCGGCTTTACAAGTCTAATTAAATTTGTTCGCTTTTTTAACCATGTTCATTCAGTTGATTACAGTTTAATGCTATCAGGGAAACACTGAATGAAGCGCGAAAACTCCAACGGTTTTTAAAATTTGAAACTCAATTAATTAAGAAAGACATTCTTTGGAAGCTGTCATTTTATCTGTTACTATAATGTCATAGTTGATGGACATATTTATATTTATCACTGGAGTGACAACTGTGAATCACCAGACTGTTTATAAGCTGTCACTTAATTCGTTACTAAAAAAATGTCGCAGTTGGTGAACTTGTGTGCATTTTTCACAATGCACTCTTGAGTCGTGAGAACTCTGTAATGAAACAAAGTTACACTCTCACTTCGTCCATCCTTAATTGCAATTTTTTATACCATGATGCAACAATAAAAATCGGCAGTACCATTACATTTAATTTTAGGATTAGGCCTAAGCTATTTCATATAATTTTTGTAAATGTATCAATAGCAAATATGCATGAGGTAGGCCTTGCATAACAAGAGACATCCAGTTTCCGCAATGCTTTCCGCAAATTATTTAAATGCAACATAAACTCATGGCCACACGCCTCTTAAAAACATTCTAATATACAGTATAGCGAAATTATATTCAACAGGAAACTGTCATTATTTTATAAGAAAAAACCGGATGCGATCAATTTCTTCTAGTTAGGAATACTAACTAATCGCACCAATGAACGGCATATCGTCTGCAGGTGTTCTCGGGTGTTAAAGAGCAAACAGCAGTCCAGTAAAGTATTGAGAAAAGTGCATACAGTTTTAATATGCTACTTTTATTTAATATGCCTATCATTTATGAATAATAAGAACGTGGGGGTATCAAACCCAGTGAGAGAGACTATGGTAAACACGTAGGCCGAAAGATACAGGCTTGTTCCAGTTCTAAATATAGACATAGCCAATTGAAAAGACCGAGCCACTCAGCAATAAGAGCCGCGAGAGCTGCTTTAACACGAGTTGTTGAACATTTCCCTGCACGATTCATAAAAAGTTATCTTTCATCATTCACTTTTATCGCGTATTATTACTGACACTTCCAATCTTCGATATGAGCAGCTCAGTAAAATGAACTAAAGCTTGGAAGTACGTAAACATAATTCGTAAATCATAATTATATAAGCAGCGAGTATTCACATCTCTCGACGTTTTCTTTATAGTTCTCTCTATCTTAGACCGTATAATATAGGCCTAATTATTTGTTTCAGTCCATATACTTCTGTCTCTACACTTTCCTCGCGTCCTAGCGAAACATTGACTGTTGTTCGCAAGTGTCACCAACGCCCTTCATTCAATCGAATATTCGACGACTTTGTGGTTACCACCTGTTGCGGAAAATATAATATCGATGAGAGTAATATTAACCTACTGATTGTAATTAAAAAAAAATAAACATAACGAGTATTATTGAGTAGAGTTGAATAACTTAGTGGTTAAGATGCTTGCCTACCAATCCCAGGTTCCTGGATTCAATTCCTGTTAGTGTTGCAGAATTTTTTTTTCTCACGACTAAAAAAACTCCGCTCCATAAACCGCATATTGATATTTATTTTGTGTAAAGCATCGTGTGTGTGTATTGGCTTGTGAAAAGCGATTGTCAGCTACAAGTAGGACAGTGATTCGTTATTGACAAGCCTTGGTACATGTGTTGTGTGCCTAAATAAATACCTAAATAAATAAAGAAATATAAAAGAAATGAATAGCGTAATGGACATTCAGTTTAATTTTGTAGATAACATGTAAAAAATATATAACAATAATATGCTTTTTACTACATTTCTATTAATATATTTCATTATTTCAGGTAATAAAGATATATAATATTGATGACAATAACTACAACAGCAACAATAATAACACTTATTCATCTAAATTGATCTTAACTATTTTTAATTAAATTAGCTTATTGTTTTCTTTTGTAGAACTCTATACGTCACAACCTATCACTCAACAAGTGTTTCGTCAAAGTGCCTCGGCGAAAGGACGAACCAGGAAAAGGAGGTTTTTGGAAAATTGACCCCTCTCACGCTGACCTCTTAGAGAGCGGAGTGTTCAAGAAGAGAAGGAATACTTTTAGTGACAGTGGGATATATGATACCGTAAAACGAATCAAAATCGAACCGGGTCTGGAAAATACGCACAACTACTGCAAGCACAACAGAAAACAAGGTTGTCCCAAACGAAGAAATACGGATGAAGGGTATACAAATAAGAGACCATTTTTGATCAATATAAAAACCGAACCATTATCCGATTCCGAGGACATCCTAGCAAGCGGTGGGCTGAAAGGAGACTTTAGCTGGAAGACGTTATTCGATTCTGAGATAAATGTTGACGGAGAGTGCATTAAAACAGATGAGATACTCAGCAGCCGTATGGACAGGGCAGGGTCGCCAATTGAACTAGAGATTGACACCCCACCGTCATCACTTGCAGACATTGATGAATTTGACGCAAATGATGATATTTCTGCCTTAGATCTCTCAATAAAGGGTACAGGAATCCCGAAACCAAACTGGTTTGCTGAAACTATTTCAGAAACAGAACTCAATAAGCTCGAAGAGACGTTGGAAGATTTATTGGACGTCGAATTATCATTTTCCAGGAATTCTTTAACAGGCCAAGAGCCGCATCCTTGGGCTGAGAGTCGCGTTGTAAATGAAGATCCATTTTTATCATTTGAAGACCTCACAAACACAATCACGCCTTTCGGTGATGACTTATAATTGAATATAATTCCTTTAAGAATCATTTATTGTGCATTACGTCAAAAAATTATTCTGATATTAATTACGAAACTATTAATGTTTTGATACCTCACTGCTGGCGTTACATTTTATACGAAAAATAATCAAGTAATTTCATTCGATAAAACATTACGGAACACGTATTTATATAGGGAAATCAATTTTTCATTTGATATAAAGCTGTCGATATTCATGAAGTTATAAATTAATATAAAAATTGCGCAATTCAATTTACGTGTTTAACTAAATAATACAATTTCCATCCAGATGTTTAACAACTTATATATCTTCCTCATTATGACGTCATGATTTGCAAGAAACAATTATGTACTCTAATATTCTATGTCTATTTTTTCAAGAAATAAATTATGAGTTATTCTTTTTATATACCGATATACACATATATCATGTTAAATAATTGTTGTGTGTATGGATTTGATTCGTGGTGTGTTTGTGTGCCGTCTATAATGTATACTATTATAAGAGTGAGAAATCATGCCATTTATAATTATTTACGACACTTTGTAATCACTGATAGAAAAAAAAAGATTATGTTTATTATGGCAATAAGAAGAAACGCAGGCGTTTAGTCCGTCCATAGTTAGTTCCAATGATTGTTATATAGTTTCGACAGGTGATCTGTTCGTGTTTATATGTATTATACACATATTTTATTACTCTGTAAATAACTCTACTTGCGGTATTGAATAAAATCATGTATTTCTGCCAATGAACGTTTAGTGATTTTTTCCCCTTTCTAATTATGTTTGGTATATTTAATAATAACAATAACATATTAGTAATAATTATAATAAAGATAATAAGACATTAGTAATAGTAATATAACGGTAATATAAACGTTGATATTCCAAGCTCTTCACCTTCTTAAATTTGTATTTCAAAAAAAAAAACAAGACACCAACCTCTAAATTATTAACGAACTTCATTTTATTGTGCTTAAAAAATCGGACAATATGTACCGGTAATTAATGATTAAGTCGTCGGCCTAATGCATGCATCGTCTCACATACAATCTTCACTTTACATTCTAAAGCACCATCATCGCCAAAGACCTTCGCACGACAACAATATCTAAGGGCATGGCAAAAGCTAAGCCTGGATTACCGACAGGGATAATACAACATTAACAGGTCGTTGAGATCATCTACACAATGCCACAAGCGCAAGAGAATGAGCGCTTTTCAATGCAAGGCTTTTGTAACTTCTCGTCTGCAATATTGTTCAACGATAATGATCGATTATTTGAAGACATGGTTCGAATTAAAGACGTTCTTTGAGTCTCAAGAACCGAGTTCACCAATATTCCTTTTGGGCTTACATGCATCATCATGATTGTTTTAAGTTTAACAAGGCCTATACTCTCTGGTATCAGTTAAAATGTGGCAATTATCCTGTATGTGTTTGAACCACACCCCGACCCAAAGGTGGCGCCAGCGGGGGGGCCCCATCGGTGGGGGATTCCCTCCCACAAACCGCCCCCCTGTATATGTATTTTCTACATATTACACACCAAAATCCATTACATAATAATAATAATAATAATAATAATAATAATAATAATAATAATAATAATAATAATAATAATAATAATAATAATATGTCGTTCTTATATAGCGCTTCATGCCTTTACAAGGCCTCTAAGCGCAAGAATGAAAACAAAAATCCCTGGTAGGGTTCACGGGCAGAGTTTTTATGGTTCAAAATGAGTGTTTAAACCACATTATGGGATTGGCAATCAAAACAACGTTATTTGGATAGGCAAATTATTATTATTTTTTTTATTTTTGATCCGACGACCTAGCAGTGCATCGGACGACAGAGGGTCCAGCCCTGTCCGATGGGGGAAATTCCCACTGTCTCCAACACTTCCCCACCCCATTATTTTAAATACTGTATTTAAAAATCTATTTGTTCCAGAGTTGTTTGTCAAACACATATTTGAAAATTTGATAATGTGGACAGAGTCTGGTTGACAGTTAAATAGTGATTCGTCTGAAATCAATCGATATACTAATTTGAACTACCTCAAATTTAAACGTAAACAAACGACGGCTACTTGCTCATTAAAACACAAATAAAATGGTTTCATGAATGGTAATTAACGGCTTCAGTCAACGTCACGTGTACATTGTGTTACCTTATAGAGTATTTTCATATAATACTCTTCATATTCGTTCATAGGGAGTGCATGATAGCAACTAGGAACTAGCACGTGTAGATGATGCATATGACAAACTCCGCGTTGGCTAATATCATTACTGTACAACATTAAACAATCAAAATTAATTGCTACTTGCATTGTAATCAATGGATGTTACTGGAAGTTACGTGTGTAGATCATGTGTTGTTATCTCATGATTAATATTTTGTTACATATAGTACATTATAAAATCAGTGAGCGTGTTCACATCAAAAAGCAGCATAAACATCAGGGACATGCAATACCCCTGGAAAGACGGTTCTACTATATTTGAGGGGTGTTCTTGTTTTTAAAAAAATGGCAAGAGTCGGTTAGTCGAAGAAGCTACATGCACTCAATCCACAACAATGTAAATTGGGTTTTTTTTGTATTGAATCGATGGATGTATCTATAGTAAGATGTATCTACAGTATAATGTGCATCGTGGTTTCCATGAAATCGCTACACGCTATCACCGAGTTCTTTCAGCAACGCTGATAGGTCTAATATGGGAGCCTTCCCGATTGCGTCGGGGAATGCTGCTCCTCAGTGTGATGATTGTCCTGCGATTTTATGGAAACCAAGCTTAACACTGAAGCCTATGCGCTGAATCGTAGAAAATTGTATTATGAAGAGCCATGAGGGAGTCCCCGAAAATAATCACAAATAATACACATTGTGTTCGTCTACCAAGTCATTAAACCCACTTTCTTTATTGCTCTAAATTATACAATCCATTTAACAATCAATACAACATTAAATTGTTCGAACAACTTAATGATTTTTTTTAAATATAATTAATAACACACAGTACATTTATCGATATATAAATATCTAATCACGAACCAGCTGATGGCTTATGAAAATTTTCGTCATGTTAAGGATGTGTGATCCTGGCAGGGCTAGCAACAGAGGGCGGTGTTCACACGATGTCTCATAAAAACTGAGATTATCTCAAATACTCTTTATAAAATAAAGTAGATAACACAACGAATGACTGCACAAGTCAAAATCGATTGTTATTGGTTTAAACTCGATAAAATTTATTATTATAACACTAAAATGATATCGTTTGATCATGATTTCCAATCATACCCAAATATCATGTCGGCACACTGTTTAAATATGAATGATTGTCCCATCTTTTATTACTTGAGGTGGGGGGGGGGGGGTCACTGTCTTGTTGGCAGTACACACATCTATTAGAGGCTTTTGATGTAGCTGAAGTTACTAAAAAAAGCAATAATACTGCCTGTTGTGAAATATCCGTACTTATATACTGTCAATGGATAAGATGTCTTAAGATTTATATTTGCATTTTTATCTAGTATTACTGTATTGACTTTGTTGTAACCTCAAGGTAATTATTTCTACATTAGGTAGCATATAAATAAGCTTCAACATTATTAATGTTTTGTAGATGTAATATTCAAAGTACTGTATACTGTACGTCATAAAATATATTTAAAAAAAAATCAATTAAAAATTGTGATCATTTAAATATATAAGAACTTCCAATGATATAGACTGAAAAACTGTGTATTTATTACAATAAAAATCCTTAAATTGACTACCAGCTCCAATTTAATTGCAAAGAATATCAAAGCTAATAACTTGAGCCGGCCACTCATTGTATTGTATGGTGACGGTCACAAGACTGCCATCCAACAAATCCTACTCCGCTCCCTGATGAGAGCACTAGACAGTGTCACGCCGTTTGCTGATTATCGGTGGCATTCTAAACGGACTGTCATTAAAAACGATCCGTTGCACCATATCGTAGGGCTCATGTCCGCCAACGACTGCCGGCGCAGTGAGTGCCTAGCTTAAGGCCAAATAAAATTAATTGTTGGTTTCACGTCTGGGATTTGAAATTATTTTAGGAAATGGTATTTACTATCTGTTTTTACTATCCTATGTACTAGTGGTAAACAGGCTGGTAAATAGTAATACAGTAATATTTTTTTTATAAAGGAAGTCAAATGAATCTTTGTAATGTATTTCTGCCATTTATATTCCCACCTCTTCATAGGCTTGACATCATTCTTTCAGATAGTCATTATTTTTATTGTCCATGGAAAAATGAATGTTTTTTTTTTAGATAGCAAATAGTAAATTTTTCCATGAGGTTCCAAAATTTGATGAGGGTGGGGACGTGTAACTAGAAATTAATTTTATTTGGCCTAATATGCAGTATTATACAAAGTACTAGTATTTAACATTGTTGAATTTTGTTTAGCTCAAAACAAACAGTATATCTTGAAGGTGAGGATAAAGCAACTTAAAATAATGAGTGTTAAAACAGTTAATATTGACTTCATTGGTTCTGTTTATTGATTGTAACCTTGAAGTCCTATTGAAATCTGTGACAAAGAAGTTGAATCACAGGGGTAAACAAGCATTGTCCTTCCTATTGTCCACTAAGGACAATGAACGACAGGCATCCCTTTAAATATTTATTGACTTCACTGTTTTTGTTTATGTTTAGCCTATAACAATTCAATAAGGTGTTACAGTATAACATTGTCATAACAATCTAACTTCTTGAAACCTATACTTGTGATGCTGATTTAGAAGTAGTTCCAAAGCTAGAATTTTTACCATAACCTAGCAGTTCTAAGGTTGGCATTATAACCCTAGGCATAGCATTTCTAAAGCTTGAATTGTGATCTTGGGTCAGGGGGAGTTTAGATCCTATTGTAGGTCTAGCAGTTCTAGGGCTTGATTTGTGATTCTAGGCCTAGAAGGTGTAGGGTTAGAGTTTTGATGCATATCAAACTCACATCAACTGCTAAACAGCCTCCTCAATTGCTGTATTGGTGCTGCAGTTCTGTTGATCATTAACTTTAAAATGTTCCCCACAAATACTGCTGCATGCAGAGAGCTTACTCTGGCAGACAACTTCATATAATGTTGAAAGAAACTCTCTGTGGTGGACAGCAATTCAAAGAAAGTTTTCCATTTCCCTCATGAACTGTTCATAAGCATCATCCTTTGTTGCTGTTGAAACGGTTGGCTTAGGAGCTGGAGCAACAACAATTTCATTACGTTCAGGACCCGATTTGCTAGTCTTTGATTTCGCCTTAGCATCTCTTTTAACTCTGAGAGATGTTGGCATGAACCGTGTTACATCAGCTTGAAGGTTTCTCAATTGCGGCTTCGCTTCAATAGTCGCAGACTGAATAGGCATCTTTTCTAACATTTCCTGTCTTGTAGGCAATTTATGAATACTAGGAGGCGCACTCAGTACATTGGGGTTCTCCGACACCTGCGGGACAGGTGGTACTACCGGCCTTGTTCCCGGCGGAGGAGGTAACCCACGTGGCGGTCGTAAATTTGATGGGGGAGGAATCCTTGGCATTGCACTGCGCATGAGAGGAGGCATACCCGGAGGAGGGCCTGGTGGTGGCGCAGGCGGGCGACCTGGTGGTGGACCAGGTGGCAACATCCCTGGAGGAAGGGTTCTAAGCGGGGGAGGTCGGTTGAAATTCGGCATTCCCATTCCAGGTGGGAAACCTGGTGGGGGACGAGGAGGCGGTCCTTGAGGAGGATTTGGTGGTGCACCAGGTGGTAGGAACCTAGAAGCCTGGCCTGGCGGTAAACTTGTAGGTGGTCCTGACTTCGGTTGTGATATTTCCGATGTATCCTTACTCTCTTGTTTGTCTTCAAAGTTATTTTCATCTCTCTCCTGTAAACCTTGTTCATTGTTGCCTTCATCATCACTCATATTGTCCTCCACATCATCATGTGGTAGTGGGTCCCTCAATTGTCCAGCAAGCTTTAACATTTTAGCCTGTAACGCTGTCATTCCTTTCGGTATTCTCAACTGCTCGCTCTTATTATCCTCATCAGCAAAACGTACGGATCGCTTACCTGAAATAGAACATTGATTGTGTACATAAAAAATACAATATATTCAGGGCCGGATTGCTACAAAACAGCCTCAATCAGCTAGTACCAACTCCTTGGTTAGAGCCAGATTTATCGCAAAACCATAGACCGTACGGTAGGATTATAGCTGAAAGCGTTAAGACCATCTACAGAAAGACCCACTAACTCAATTCAAGTATTTTCAGCTCATTAAATTATACAGATCCATTTTTCTTCTGCTTTTCTCCAAAGTTATTCGATTTATTTTTGTTGTTGTTTCGTCTTGGGTTCTTTTCCCCTCATTTCTCATTTGTTACATGTAAAGCCCAATAGAGGCAATTATAAAATGAGATCTATAAAGCTGAAAATATTACTATGATTATTATAACATACAAGTATATGTTGTTGAATGTTTTTGATAAAAGCAAACATTTTTCTTATCAATTTTGTAGGCCTACCTTGATCTTCGTCGTCTTCTTGTATGTCATGCTCCTCATCTCCATCCTCATCCATTTCGTTTTCATCACCTTCACTATTTTCAGCATCGGGATGTTCACCAATCATCATGTCCTCCACATCTGGAATTCAAATACAAATCATTTCTTTGATCAATAACAGTAACTAATTACTATTACATTAGTGTCTTCATTTGGAAACACTTGGCCGTCATTAACAGATACTAATTGTATCTTTTGAGGAGATGGGTCCTGGTGGTTCATTACCTTTATCTTCAGAAGGAAATTGACAAATTAAAGATGTGATGAAGATGTTTCATAGCAACAGGCTGCCGGGGATAAATGAATTGAGCATGAAGGCTTGTTACAGTCTGTCACCAACTGCTTTCCAATCTGCTGATTGGTTGGTCGAATTTGGGAACCTCTTTGATTGCGAGGGGTACAGCTTTCAGTGTAAAGTTTGCAGTGAACTCAACGTACCAACAGTATACTGATTTTATAGAAAGGAGGCTTAAATCATGATAAAGCCACTGAGATATGCAAATCTTATGCAAATATATTCATAACTTCTCTCATTTATAAAATTAGCATAAAAATAGGAACACACCTTCCTCTGGATGATATGGCTGTTCATCGTCAATATCACTATTGCCCTCATTATCATCAGCATCATCAGAGACACCTGCTTTCTCAAGAACCCACGGCGGTAATCCAGGTGGAGGGCCTGGAGGTCGTTTACCAGGTGGCAATCCAGGAGGTAAACCAGGTGGCGGTCCAGGTACACGCCTTGACGACGCACTTTGCCTAATAATGGTTAAAAACAGAGAGAGAATTGATAATAATGGAGCAATAGTAGTGATGTAGAAGAGAGCTGGCTTGGTGGTTAACATAATTGACGCCAAGCCTCAGCTGTAAAGTTCAAATCATGAAAGAAGCAGATTTTATTCTCACAACTTAAAAAAAAACATGTCACTTCCTAAGACTGATTATGAGACAAAATTTATTAGATATTAAGCAAACCGGGGGCAGATTGTTATAAAACATAAATCAAATGTGAGCTTCCCATCCCAAAACCAACGTACTGACCCCAAATGTTAAACTGAGTAACTAGCATCAGAATGTGTCAGTATTGTACACGTTAGTACAGATAAGCCATAATACTCATAACTTCTGGCAATAATAAGTCGATTCCAGTAAATGACTCATCATTTTAAAGCTTATAATGTGCAGAATATGAATATATTAAAAAGCCACTTTCCATTTTTGGTCACTGATGTTGGTTTTGGAATGGCAAGAGTCCCATATATTTGATACATAGAATGTTGATAGTGTGGACTATAAATTCTATACTTACTCATAAGCAGATGTCTTCTTCAGGATTGATGGCGGCATTGCACCAGGTAGAGGAATATCCTTTGGGAGCGGTATCATAGAAGGGACTGGGGAAAGCAAAAAAAATAAAAACAAAAATAGTTTTAATAGCAAGTGATATTCAAGAAAAACAACTACAAAAGCTAGTAATTGCTTTTTAATTATTAATTCAATTTACTTATTTAATATCTGTTACAAGGTTACCATAGAGGGGGTCTGGTATAGAAGAAAGGCAGTTGCAATGAAAGCACAAATTAAACTTCAATACAAAAACAAGAATCCATTAATGTATTTTTAAAGATAAATATGAAAGGAGTGAAACAGAGATGGAGAATTTGGGAGCAATGCTGTTAGAATGAGACTAAACTACGGTACTTATTATGTTGATTCATGACCACATCCACAATATTAAAATTAATAAACTGTATATCCGCTGATTATAACTTACTTTCCGGAGCATCGGGCAGAGGAATGGAATCCACATTTACTTGCTGTGTTTCACGAATGGATTCTATAAAGAGAGATGAAATCTAGTTATAACCACAAATTAAGAATAAAAAGAAAATCTGAATTACACCTTAAATGGGGAAAAGTTTATAGTTCTAAGTGTTAGGATGTAAAATACTGTCCAATTTGTTTTAATATTAGTAAAACATAATGTTATTTGTTTTACCATAGTATTTAGCGTGCTGTTGGCGTTTCTTGTCGTAGTCCATCTCAGCTCGTTTATAGTCTGCATATCTGTCAGGATCTTCTTTTTGCTGAAGCATAAAAAAGCAAGTGTCGTTTAGTCATGTGATCAAAAACTTTTTCTCGGACATTTTAATTTCCTTAGACAGCTGGTTTAAACGCGAAACATACGTAAGCCTAGGCCTAGATGTCTATGCTTGGTTATAGATACCCAGATTTACACGAGCAGTGCGCCTTTGCCGACAGCGGGGTTGACTGAATGCGGCTTTTCCCTCTTCCTTTGGGAGTGAAATACAGAGGATTTTTACAACAATTTCCCAGCCATGTTCCATGAAACAGATTAACACTATGAATATCTGATTCATTTGCATACCGCCTACCCTGAATTCTCTTTCTTAAAGAAGGCTGATAGCAAAGAAAATCTTCGCCAACTTGGTTAGTCTAGCCGCCATTGTCTAAGGTTTTCGTGACTTTGTGGGTGGGGCTTCGTGTCCTTGTCAACATGTCAATTATATTTAATACAATATCTGTGAGGGGTTTGTGAGATCCATGAAAGGAAACCAATGAACCATTCCGCTAAGCCCCGCCCCTTGGATATTGTTGCTAAGTTCCTACAAAACAACATTGTTAAAACATATGCAAACATGCGCGTTTGTGGGACAACACCTGGCTTATTAGCATATGCGTATTTCTGGCTCTGTTCTGATTGGCCAGTTGTTAAGTTTGATTGACACTCCGGAAAGCTCCATTAAAGAAATGTAATCAACTTAAGAATTTAAATCTTAGTTTGTCTCAAGCATATTTTTTAGTTAAAACAAGGTGCTATCTGTTTTGTTTGTATTTTCCTAATTTTCTTTAATTGCAATAACTTACATAGAGTTTCAGTACTCTGTCCAGTGTCTCCTTCAACTTTTTGCGTTTGTCTTTGATAACTTTCTCTCCAAGATGGCTACATGTTTCAGGATTTAATTCTAGTGACAGAAGACAACATGAAATGAGGAACATTAAGAACACAAAGCGATGCCAAGCCTAATAAACATATAAGAACAGTGGTGGTGAAATCTGGCATCAGAGGAACCCCGTCGGGAAGCCATTAACTGTAGTCAGTGAAGTTCCGTTGGGAACACTGCATGAAAAGCTATACAGTGTCCGAGTGCCATTTCTGGCCATTTAAATGTACCCATTTTTAAGCGTGTTGTGTATATGTTCACTACACTGTCGCTGTGATCCACTACAGTTATTATGTTGCTTAGATTTGACTGACAAAACGTCAGCAAAAGGTGTCGGTGACAGTTTGTAGAGACTTACGAAAACAAAGCTTTACAACCACGTGGCTTTTAAAATAGGCAATGACTATAAAATAATTGTTACACCACTCTTAAAACCAATTCCTAATTCTGATTGGATGTATTGTATGTATGCATTGGGTTAGGACAAGAACATCCAATCAGGAATTGGTTTAAATTAAGACTGGTGTAACTATAGCCGCTGTCTTTAAGGTATATGATGTACACCTACCAAGCTCATCCAACTCCTCCATGTCCTGGATGATCTGTATGGGATCTTTCATCTTCAAAACGTGCGCACGCACCATCATTCTCTGTTTCTTGTTCTATATAAATTTGTGACAACTCTCTCATTAATGGTGGGTTTAAATATTCATATTTAACAAAATGTTACACAATTGTTACTTATTTTGTTATCATTACTTTTATTCTTTTGCCACAAAAAGATACATTCAAGTTACAAGCAATACCTAGATAAAATAACAATTAGTAACACAATTACTTATTTTACCTTCTTTAGTTCTCTCTTTCTTGCTTCTTTTCCTAAATTTGAAAACAAGTGCAAAAATAAATTGAAGATACCGTACACTTATATAACAAGAAATTATGTGGATGTGAGGAACATATATTAGAAGCTATAGTTCTAATACATATGAGTCAATTACAGTATTTTGATGGAACATACCTTAGTTTTGGCTTGCTATCACACATCATGTATTGTCACATTTGCTTTTAACTTAATTTAAAATATACAGTATAGTGATGCAGACAATTTATTAGCACATAAAAAAGTATAACCTAAAAAATAAAAAAAAATTACATCTACCTAGGCCTAGTCCTATCTCTTAATTGATGGCCTAGTCTATGAATATGTGTGATACTAGTCTCATTAACCTTGGGGGAATCAAGTCCTAGGCTAGGCCTAGACCAATGGGGCCCAGGCTACCGCCGGAACAGGCCTCCCGGCTCCCTTGCTTGCTCTAGCCTAGCTCTTTCATAAATGTATTTGGCCTACGCTACGCTGTTGCTTTAGTAAGTACTTACGAGCTTGGTCAGTGGGGTTCATAAATTTACCACTTTTAGTGGTATTTATCGACCTCCTCCCCATCTTGAAAAGTTAGCTTCTTGACCGTATCCGCTATATTTTAATGTCAATTCTAGGAGGCTAGTTTTTAACCTTAGCCCAGGCCTGGAAAAACGCGACGATGGAGAATGATGCGTTGCCAGACGGTGTATAATATTACGCCCAAATGAACTTTTGCGAGGGAGCCAGTCGAGCGTAAGCTAGTTCGAGCGGATGAATTCGAGGCACATGGTGTGGAGTGTGTGTTAAAACATGGTTAAAAGTAGTATCCACTCGAATTGCATTCGCTCGAACTGTCATTCGCTCGAACTGAAATTTGCTCGATTAAAAGTAAACAAAATCGTCAAGTGTGATAAATTGTTTGACTATGAAATCACGTATTTCACTATTTTCGTGTGTTTTGTTACTTCATATATATGAAGTTTATTCTGTAAACGTGCTTGTTATTGTGGGTAAGTCATGGAAAATATATTCCAAGCAGCCGATCCAGAGAAAACATTAGACACACAGGGCCTAGGCGCCTAGCTAGGAGGATAGGGTAAAGAGAGTAGAGAGGCTCCAGGCCTGTGCCTATCGGCCAGACGAGCCAGCCCTAGCCTAGCCTGGGTTTAATAAACTAGGGAGATGTGTATAAGAGACAGATTCCGCGCTGTATTGTTGTTTTATTCTTTACTGATTCATGATTATGCTTTAATTGTTTTGTGTATTATTTGGTTAATAGCAACGATTTCTACCGCCACCAAAGAGGCTACAGTATGTATTCACCGATGTCACTGTCTGGGTGTCTATTCCAGTTTGTTTTTATATCTAGTATCTTTGTTGAGAATTGATAATAAAATACGCGACGACTTGATAACGAAAGTTTGGCACAAGTTTTTTTAGATCCATGGACATCTCTGGATCTACCCCTGAGAAAGGTAGACTGGGGGTAGCTCTGGCACCTTGTCCCTTTCCCCCACTGGTGACGCCTCCCCCTACTGGCGCTACCCTTGTTTAACAGGCATAATCCTAGGCCAATATTCCAAATGATAAAATTAAAATTATGGGTGTTGATTTTACTTTTATACATATACCAGTCAAACACAGCTTAATTCTCAGCTTTACATGCTGCATTCGTTGAAAAAAAAAATTTCTAACTTTAATTTTTTAGCTGATGATGGTGGCTTTGAGAGCCAAGTGTACAACAACACAATTTCCAAGATGCCCCACCTCACTGAGCTGTCAAAAAGAAGCCTTGTTTTCAAAAATGCGTTCACCTCGGTGAGTAGCTGTTCACCAAGCCGGTCATCCATTCTTACTGGACTACCCCAGCATCAGAACGGGATGTATGGCCTTCATCAGGACGTCCATCATTTCAACACATTTGATCAGGTTAAGAGTCTCCCGTATATACTGAAGCAAAATAACATAGTACGCGGTAAGTTTCTTTTTGTTGTTGTCAAGTGCCTCACAAATTATTATTATTAAGTAGCAATATTGGTGACACCTCACCCCCAAATATATGTCCTCCCAAAAATCATGGTAAAGTAGTTAAAAATCACCTTTTTTGTGAGCCAGCGACACCGCACTTAATCATCGATACCCCACTTCACTTTATTGCCCCATCAACTCCTCTCCCTATTTCAGAACTTCCAGATACGCAATTGGTGACGTCAGAGGACATTTGGCTATTTAACAATCAAGGGATTTCTTCTTATTTGCAATTGAATAATAAATTTTGTACCTTTTATTAAAAAAAATTACACACAAGTTTGCAAAATAAATTGGCTATTTTAAAATAATTTTAGGTTTTGCTCAAGTTTCTCTATTTGATATTTTTATCCAATAATTGGTGTTTCATACACGGTTGGATGTGTAATAAATAAAAATCAAGTAATTTGTATTTCATCATAGATTTACTTTCATTCTAACCTTGTTCTCTGGTACTAGGTATAATTGGCAAGAAACATGTGGGCCCAGAGGCAGTATATCCGTTTGATTTTGCACAAACAGAAGAGAACAATTCAATTCTACAAGTTGGAAGAAACATCACTAGGATCAAAGAACTGGTAAAACAGTTTTTCGATTTCACTGGGTCATCGTAAGAAATATTTTATTTATTTAATATAACTTAAAATAATTAATGTTCTTCTTTGCCAATACCACTCTACATCATGATTAGCTAATATACGTACAGTAATAATAGTCGTCATTATTTCATTTCAACAACATTTATTCAAATCAGTAATAACAATATAACAAATAAATCATTAATCAATTCAGTATAACAATATAAAGTGCAATCAATAATCAATAGTAAATATATAGTTCAAATAAATGGTAATGGATAATTAAATCAATCAATCAATCAATCAATAATAGCAGAACAATATAGTTTCATATATATGAATATTGACAAATTAGTTTGAATAATAATATTAATATAATAATAATAATAATAATAATAATAATAATAATAATAAATAATAACAATAATTCAAATGAAAATTCACATGTAAGGATGTCTGGATCATTTGCTGTTTTTCATCCATGTCATGTGTTTATTGTTGTGTGTGTGTCAAACATATATAAGAATTCAGGTGCTAGAACTATAAATAAAGCATAAGAGCCGAAGAAAATACTTGTGCCCTTAGATCATGATTATATATTTCTGCTGTAACCTTTTTCTACAGACCTTTCTTTCTCTACATTGGCTTCCACGACCCACATCGCTGCGGTCACACTCATCCAGAATACGGTCAATTCTGCGAGAAGTTTGGCACTGGAGAAAAAGGTATGGGTCTGATACCGGATTGGAAACCAGTCGTGTATGATCCGTGGACGATAGAAGTGCCTTATTTCATTCAGGATACTATTGAAACACGGAATGACCTGGCTGCACAGTATCAGACAATTAGTAGACTGGATCAAGGTAGGAATTAGCCTGGGTTCCAGGCCCTAAATTTGGGTTACTCACTTTTTAATGCACTTAGTGCACACCATACCAATTTACTTAGTGTCCCATACTTGATTTTTTTTTTTTGATTATTCTGTCTAAAATTAATTTACTCACTGGGGGCGCTATTCAAAAATAATAAGAGACTTACTGTGGCAAGTCTAGGTAGAAATATGAAGACTGGCTTATATATCACAGGTGGATTCGAGGGCATCTCGTCTGACCACTTCCCTAAATTTTTGAATTGTAAAATAAAGTCTAAAGAGTGCCATTTCCTTGTTCAAAATTGCATACATTGTGTAATGTACCTTGGTTTCCAAGACTTCCCTAATGAAATTTGTTGACAAGTTTCCTAATGATAGCTTTAGCACATTGGTACTTAAAATCAGCGGTGGCGCCAGAAATTTGATGACAAGTGGTCTGAACCAAGGGGTCGACTGGAGCCTTGGTTGACAGCCCGGAATAAAAAATTTCTGGTAGGGTTCTCGGGGAGAGTTTTTAGGGCTTAGTACAGTCCAAAGTGTGCTTTAAGACCACGATATTATAGGCATTAGCAATCAAAATAGCCTTACTTTGGATAGGCAATTATTATAATTTTTATGTCAGATGACAGGGAGGTCCAGGCCTGTCAGGGCGTGCTAATTCTCCCTGCCCCCCCTTGCTGGCACCACCTCTGCTTAAAATTCTCAGACCATTTTTTTTTTAAGTCACTATTGCTTATTTTGAAATTTGAATATTGTTATGTTCCAGGCATTGGAATTGTGTTGAATGAACTGAAAGAGGCTGGTCATGATAAAGACACTCTGATCCTCTACACCTCTGATAATGGCATCCCGTTCCCAAGCGGCCGCACCAACTTCTACGAACCAGGAATGGCTGAGCCCATGCTGCTATCTTCACCATACCACACAAAACGCAATGGTCAAGTCAGCGAAGCAATGGTCAGTCTACTGGACATCACTCCAACTGTACTTGATTGGTTCAGCATAACCTACCCAAAATACAGTATTTTTAGCAAAAATGAAACAGTAAAATTAACAGGAAAATCTTTATTGTCAGTGTTAGACAAAGAACCTGTTGCGAATTTTAGCGAAGTTTATTTGAGTCATAATATTCATGAGGTCACAATGTACTATCCAATGAGAAGCATTCGTACTGAACAATTCAAGTTGATCCACAATTTAAACTATAAGATGCCGTTTCCAATCGATCAGGACTTTTTTCTTGCGCCAACATTTCAAGATTTACTGAATCGCACTCGCAACCATGAACCGACATATTGGTACAAGAAACTGGTAGACTATTACTACCGCAGTGAATGGGAGCTCTTTGATATTAAGAATGATCCGGAAGAGTTAACAAATCTTGTGAGCAAACCCGAGTATTCTACCATTTTAGAATCATTAAAAAAGAAGCTTGTATCCTGGCAACACAAAACACATGACCCTTGGATATGTGCGCCTCAAGGTGTGTTGGAGGACAAAGGCATGTACAAAGATAACCCGCAATGCTTTTCAATGGATAATTGTCTTTAAGTTTTGTAATTCTGATGTAAATTATATTTTTTGGCATTTGTTAGCTGTAGCTCAGTTCTGTCATATGCTGAGCTAAGAAGGCAGAGATTCAAGGCTGTGGACAATGGAACTGCCTTCTGAAACTTGAAGAGAATAACTAAGCGACCGGTATAAATGACACTCTCTGATTTTGCTCCCATTTGGTATGGAGTTCAAGGATCCATCCGAGGGCATCTCCTTTTTATTTTGTTTATCAATGACCTTCCTAATTATATCACACAGTCCAAAGTTTCAGTCTATGCTGACGACACTGCTTTATTTTTTTCATCCAAAATGTAATTGACATTCAGAACACTCTTTTTCATGACCTACCTAATGTTGCTAATTGGTAAATAAAAAACACTCACTTTAAAATGTAAAAATGTAAGCAAACCTAAAGCAATCTTATTTGGATCCTCTAGGAAACTCAAAGAAACAGACAAAATTGAAATTCACATAGGTAACTCTCCCATTCAGACAGTTAACTGTATAAAATATCTTGGTGTCTGGCTTGACCCTCATTTATCATGGACACTTCATGTGATAAGACTATACAGTAGAACCTCGTTTTTACGTACCCCAGTTATACGAACCCTCGGTTTTACGTACGCCTCGTATCGACGATGACGTCATCAAAAACCCCGAAAATATTCAAAACAAATGGCCCTTTTCAGAGCAACCATAAGTAAATCACTATAACAATACACGAACCATAATGCAACGTATTTTCATTAAACAGCAATGTTGATCGAGTCTAATACCAGGTTGTTATAATCTAAAACCACGTAAACTGAGTGGGATGAACAACTACCAATGGTGCTCAAAATAATTGCTTTCCTCCTCAGCTTCGTGTGGCAAACCATGGGAAAACTTGTCTGGTCTAATTTTCTACACGAAGCTGGGTAGGCATAGTTTCGTACACGAACGCTAATTGGATGGCTCGCCCAGTGCAGTGCACATGGTTTTGTTGTTTCACATACATGAAAGCTAATTGGTTGGCTTGCCCAGTGCACATGGGTTTACAACAGGCCCAGACAACACCACAGCTCTGTTGTTTAGAATAGGCATGAAGGGGAATCCCCAAGTTATACCTTTGTCGTATAGGTAATCTTACAATATTTTCATGTTCTTTAATTAAATAAAAGACATAAAGTGATGAATAATACACTAGACACATGGTTTTATTTGAACACTTTATTATGACATCGTAAACTGATGAATAAAAACACTAAACACATTTTTATTCGTAGGCCTAGAGGCTAGGTCTAGCCTAGCTAGGTAACATCGTTCGTTCATACATACGTATATTGAGCTTTACGTACATATTAGGTCAAAGGTTACCACAAATTTAACCCAACCTCTATTTTACGAATCCCCAGATTTACGTACGCCCTTTCATGACACTGTAGGATGTCACTATCTTTACAAAAGTCTTATTCTTTCAATTTGATAAAGTTTTGTAACCTACGTTACCAGGATTACTCATTTAATAAACATTATCAATTGCTCAATGCAATTTTTTGTTAGAAAGTTCTAAAACTTAAAGTTATTTATAATAGTTTTATGCCCTCTATATTTCATTAATACAGTATGGATTAATATTCCAAAACGTAACATAGGTTACTGTAACATAAATTACCTTTCTAATTACAAATTCTAATTAAACATGATGATTTACTGACGCTGTATCCATGCTTATTACTTAACTACTTCTCACATTTAGTTTGGTAAGAAATCATGTTTCACTGCTTAAAAGCGACAATCAAAATTTCAAGTTTAAGACCATATTTTGCAATATGTTTTTCCTGGCAATTATGATTATGTAACATAAATTACATGCATTTGGCGACACGGATAAACTGTACCATAACCATACTAAACCCACCTCGATTGTGACTGGTATTCACAACACCAATCCTATTTGAAGTACTATACATGAAGAATGGAAAGTTGCTTTATGTTTTTAAATCCTAAAACCATACTCATACATTGTATTGTATTCATTGTAATGTATTGATACAGTGCTTTGTACTCGGGAAAGACAATGGTCAGGCCTGGACACATTATTTTATTTCCCATACAGTTGCGGCAGAAATTATACTAAATCCTTTCCGAGCCCCTAGGGCTCATAGGGCTGGAGCTTATCCCCAGTTATGTAGTGTGAAGCGGATGAGAGTTGTACTCCCCCTGAACGGGACACTAGTCCGTCGCAGGTTAGTCCCCAGCAGTTTGCAGGTACCCATTGATACAGCTGGGTGGACAGAAGCAATGTAGCTGCATAGAGAAAATTTTCTCTATGGTAGCTGTAAGTGCCTTGCCTAAAAGGACACAAGCGAATCTGCACAGCACTAGGGCTCATAGGGCTGGAGCTTATCCCCAGTTATGTAGTGTGAAGCGGATGAGAGTTGTACTCCCCCTGAACGGGACACTAGTCCGTCGCAGGTTAGTCCCCAGCAGTTTGCTGGTACCCATTGATACAGCTGGGTGGACTGAAGCAATGTAGCTGTAAGTGCCTTGCCTAAGGACACAAGCGAATCTGCACAGCAGAGACTTGAAACCATGACCTTACGATTGAAAGCCCAAATCTCAAAATTATAAAGGGTGCTGTTTTAGGAGAACTGATATGCATGAATATGCATACAGACTCCCCCTCGTTAAACAGTCAGTGGCGTATTGAGTTTTATGCGGGGATGAACGCTATGGAGTCACTAGGCCAAAAAACCTTGGTAGTCAAGGCAGTGTAAAAATTTTAGTACTAGATTAGACACATTCTATGTAGGCCTACAGCATGGTCTTCGAAAGTATAAAAAAACAGAGTAGGCTAAAAATATTGAATCTGGCACCATATTTGAGTAGATCTAGGCCTACAATTAGGCTTATGCAGTACGACGTGTGTGTTGTAGCAATTGTATACTCCCTATTACTTAGTAGTACTGATTCTGAAGGACATTTAGAAATGCTCGGAAACAAATTACTAGTACTTCGGACACAGTTAACTTACAATTTTACATTTAAAAGTTTTTTTTATGAGAAAAAATCCCTATTTATTAACAGACAGTGAACATTTCTGTATTCCTTTGCATGATTCATTGGTTGGTAACATTTAAGGATTTTTGTAGAACCGACTGTAAATCAATGAAAGCTATTTTTACTTCCATCTAATTTTGATTGTTTTAAATATAAAGCTATTCAATATTTAATTTGGTAGACACAGCCTAAACAGTACGTCATATCATGTGTATAGAATATTGTAAAATTATTGTTTATAATATACCTGCTTGCTATAACAATCTATGCCTTTATTCATATTGAATATGAAAGAAATGTTTGTAAGAAGTCAACATTAAAACAATACACAGAATTGTACCTGTGTGTCCGAGCATTTCTAAACTTTTATCCTTTAGAATCAGTAGTATAGCAGTTAAATATTGCTATACTTTACACTACTCGAATAATCGACCAGAAATTCAACACTGCCTTTTTATACTTTCAAAGACCATGTTGTACGTAAACACTGCCTAGGAAAAGGTATATTGTAATTACAGTAATAGTCAATTAAGGTAGTTCACTCTGTATCAACTGTATACACTTTCTTCTCGACCGACACCAAGAGATTTTGGCCTAACCTAACCATCGAGGAATTAGTTTAGTTTCGAAACTAACTCCTCCATGCCCTAACAACGGTGTAGCTTTCATATTCCACACGTAGCGAACAACACACCACTTTTGCGACTCGCGAGAAGAAGTGTCAAGTATGCATGCATTATTCATGTTATCGGTTCACCTAAATAACCTTAAATAGTGCCCTCTATAATTTCTGCTGGAACTGTATGGGAAAAAAAATAATGCGGCCTGGGCAGCAATTGAAAACATGTCTGCTCTAAACAACTGCAAGATTTTTTCATCAATATTCTTGAAAATGATCAAAGTGATCAACCTGTAAACAAACATAATAGTATTAAATAACAAAATATGACAATTTGTAGTAGTATGCATTATAAAATACTGAATAGTAGAAACAATTGGTTAACTAGAATCTCACTCTGGATCCCACAATAAAAATCCCTGGTGAGGAGGGTTTTTGGCTTAGCATTAGTAATAGTATTAGCAATCAAAATATTATTTGTATTAGATTAGATAAAGACCATCCAACTGCTCGTTGTGCAGTTGGATGGTCTAGGCCTGTCCATGGAAGGGAAAAATTTCCCCTGCCCCCACTAGTGCCACCACTATTTCCCAAGGAATTTCAATCTTGAATTTCTAAGTGAATGGTGGTAAAATACAAATACTGTATTAGTCATACTGTCCTCTATATGGAATAAATAGATACTCTACAAAATGGAAGCTACACGAGTCTCGTGTTTTAGGTAGTCTCAATAAAGTCTCAATAAATAGGCCTAATGTATAATGTCATACAAGAGCGAGGTTGAAAATTGGGCTTTGTATGTAGAAAGGCTGGTTAACACATTAAGACATATGGTTTATTGAAAAATCTGGTAGCTCCAGGTAAGTCGGTAGACAACCAGTTCCAGGATTTAGAGGACTGATTGAAAAAACATCTTAGTCCCAAGCTGCTAGTAATAGCAGAGTGGTTGGGGATTCATAAGTGTGAACAACACGAGGGAGAAAACATTTAATCATATCTCGTCGAGTTGAGGCGCCTTTCAAAACATTGTGATTTTGGGGATTGTCTTGTTTTTGTGTTATTCGATCAGGAAGCATACAAAAACGATTGTTGGCAGAAGAGAAGCTTACGTAAATGAAAGCATTTTATTGGCTGTTGCTATGGAAACAGCACCCAAAGATGCTTCACAATTACAACAATTTAAAGTCAGACTCCGGAGGAAAAACATTTTTTGATATGTTGTAGATCTGATTTTTCTAAGACAGAAAAAAGTTGTTTGACGAAGAACTGGGACTCTAGGACTTGACTTAGTTGTTAAAACTTTGACTACCTTATTTTTGAAAAATAAAGTTGCAACTAGGACTAAATGAAGTTCTAGTCCAAAGTTCGACTAAAGTTCGTTTTACGGGCGCAAGTATCTTATTTCCTTCAATAATTGCCTTTAGACCTGCAGGCGTCAGGATAATGGTGCTTTTGATCTCTACATTCTGTAGGGGTCTCATAATTTGACTATAATTAAATAATTTGTTAGACAAACTTACCACAGCGCAATGTTAGTACAGCAACTGCTACCACTCCAACAAATATTGCTACGGTTAGAAAATTACACATTATAAAAAAACAATGACACAAGAGAAGACTTAAATAAATAAAGCAATAGTAGATATTATTGCACTGTTAATTAATTACATTCTAATTGTCACCAAGCACTGTAACTTACTTTTATAGAAAATTAATTAACAAAACACATACTACAATCAAGTATATGTTAGTTCAAATTCAAACATCAAAGTAAAAGCACATAACATGGCTTAAATGCAAGAACAGAGATGATCAACTGAAAATGAAAGGTATTTCTATGAAGTCATGTACAAAATAGAGTAAACATAAACATTGATGATATTTTGGTTAATTTATGAGGTGGGAATAAGTTTACAACCCTTGACCTTGCCCAAGCATATAATCAAATGGAGTTAGCAGATGAAGCTAAGAAAGTCCTAACTATAATAACGGAAAAAGGTTTTCACCAAATGAATCGATTACCTTTTGGTATCACAACAGCACCCGCCATTTGGCAAAATGTTTTGTTGAATGTATTGCAGGGATTGAATGGCGTACAGGTATATCTTGACGATGATATTATTACGGGCAAAGATGACCAAGAGCACATAAATAATTTGAAGGGAGTATTGAGTAGGTTAGAGGAGTATGGGTTGAAACTGCGACGTGATAAATGTGTTTTGATGCAGAAATTTGTAGCTTTTCTATGTCATGTCATAGATAAGGATGGCATACATAAGTGTCCAATTAAGACAGAGCAAATTTTGAACATACCCTTACCAACGGATGTTAGTCAACTCCGATCATACTTGGGTATGGTGAATTATTACCAATCATTTGTGCCTAATATGTCATCCATGCTTAACCCCTTGTATAAGATGTTGCAAAAGGGAGTGAAATTTTAGTGGTCTAAGGCAGCCAAAGATGCCTTTGAAAAATCCAAGTTTGAATTGGCTAATTCTGGGTTTTTGGTGCATTAACAATCCCATTGGCTAATTCTGGGTTTTTGGTGCATTAACAATCCCATGTTACCAATAACAGTAGCAACAGATGCGTCACCATATGGTGTATCAGCCATATTGTCCCATATAATTGATGGCAAGGAGAGGCCAATAAAGATAGCCTCTAGATCTTTGACTGCAGCCGAACAAAACTACCCACAAATAGAGAGGGAGGCATTGGCCATGGTTTATGCGTTAAAAAAGTTCTACCCATATGTGTATGGTAAACATTTCAGGTAACAGATAATAAACCTTTGACTCAAATATTTGGTCCCAAAACAGGGTTACCAGTGTTAGCAGCTGAAAGGATGCAGAGATGGGCTTTGTATATTTCAGGTTTTGATTATGAAATTGTGTTTCGTAACAGTGGAGCTAATGCGAATGTTGATTGCGTTTCAAGGCTGCCAATAGGGTCAGCACCAGAGAATGAGTTAACAGACGTTAATGTTAATTTAATTGAGGCTATGAAAACACTCCCTGTAAATGTAATGGTGTTTTAGCTAAAGTGACACAACACTTAATTGATGGTTGGGTCAACTACAAAAACAATTTAGAACCTTTCTACACACGTAGAAATGAGTTAACTATTGAAATGGGATGTATCCTATGGGGCATTAGAGTAGTGATCCCACCAAAATTACAAACCAAAGTTCTTAATGATTTGCACATTGGACATATGGGAATTGTAAAAATGAAGAGTTTGGCTAGATCTTATTGTTGGTGGCCTGGCATAGATAAACAAGTTGAAGATATTGCAAAAAGCTGTAATGCATGCCAAATTATACCATGGAGGTATTCACTATAATACCTCCATGATTATACAATATAAGCCTCAGATAGCACCTACACACCCACTACCTTCAACTGAAAAGTGGGAGCGAATCCATGTGGATTTCGCAGGTCCCTTTGAGGGACGCATGTTCCTAATTATAGTAGATGCCTATTCAAAGTGGCCTGAAGTGATAATAATGGGTTCAACTACAGCCACTAAAACAATTGAGGAATTGAGGATACTATTTAGTAGGTATGGTCTCCCTAAAATAATTGTATTAAATAACGGGTCACAATTTACTGCAAGTGAGTTTAAAGATTTTGTGACCAGGAATGGTATAATTCATAAGTTCTCTTGTCCTGGTCAACCATCCACAAATGGTCAAGCGGAAAGGTTTGTGCAAACCATGAAACAAGGCATACGTGCATCTAATGATGATGGTTGCACAATTCAAACAAAATTGTTAGCTTGTTAGCTTATCGAAATGTTGAACATGGCTTAACAAAACAGAGTCCTGCACGAGTGTTCATGAGTAGACCATTAAGGTCCAGGTTAGATATGCTAAGACCTAGTATGACTGATCCAGTTCGAGGTAAACTGCATGATCAAATGCAAAAATGTAAATCAAAGATTAGGACATTTGAGGTCGATGACAAAGTGTTTGTTCGAGATTTTAGGGGAAGAGAACCGAATAAGATCAAATGGACAACTAAGAAACTTGGTCCATTGTGTTATGAGGTTAAAGTGAGTGATAAGTAGACACCTAGATCAGATTAAGTCAAGGATTTCAGACCAAGGTACTGATGTTGATAATGTTACTGATGACATAATTGATGAGTTGATTGATAATCATATGGAAATGAATGATGGTGAAGTTGAGTGTAATGAAGGTCAGGGTTTGGAGAAAATCCCTAACCCAAGTGTTGCTATCAGTGAACCAGATATTCATGTAAGACGATCAACACGTGTAAGGAAGACACCAACTAGATATATTGAAGAATGTTGATTTGCATTTTATGTTGAGTTGATAATGCATATAAGGTGCGAGATGATTTGATTACAAAACACAGTAAAGTAGTTGAATTTTGGAGTTCAGTTTTGAGTTTTAATAATATTATATACACGGTATTAATAGTTCATCCAGCCAACATTATATATAGAAAGGGAGAATGTAGGATATTAGTAGTGTACTATATTAGTACTTGCGTAACATTACCTATGGTGCCACTTTACTCATGTCGCGTATGAATATTCAATTGTATGTGTGATGCGCAATAAAGAGCGTTCATGCTCACGTACTGTGATGGCGAGCAAGCATGTTTATTGACTGTCACAATTGTTTATATTTAGTTTGCTGTTTACTTTAATTAGTGAATACACAACATGTTCACTGATATTGTTCATTTCAGGCCGGTATTTACCAACGTAGTATGACGGCGATCTGCAGCGATATCCAGCCTAGCTATGTTGTACGAAGCCAGCTGCGGTGCGGTGTAACGCTCCCGATGCGTGTGCAAAACCTAGGTTTTGCCTACGCGTAGTAAATGCGTAGCCTACGCGTAGAAAATGTTGTAGTAATTTTTATCTGTACTGTAGATTGCTGGTTTAAAGCCCAAATAACATTTACGAAAACATTTACTAAACATTAATAATCAAAACCTGTTTTTTGCAATAATCAGGCCTATTTTCATGATGATTAGGCCCAACAAGATCGTGTAGGCAAATCATTTTAGCCCATGGCTGTCATTTGTACTAGCTAATGTTATATGTACTGTACATAAATATATTTCATGATCATTTTAATTAAGATTCTTCAACAATATATGTTGCAGTATTGGAATGCAATAATGAATCAGAATGAAAGTGGACCCGATAGTCCACACTAGGTCTATTGAAGGACTCGATCTTCTCGTGCTGTGGGTGGCCGGATCGTATATAACAACAATGGAAAAGGACTGCCTAGGTGCTACTGAACGGGAAAGAGATAGGCTTAAGATTGGGCACAATGTGTGGTTTTATGAACCACAAAAACCATACAGAAGACCTTCCCTTAAAGCTAGTCAAAGAGTTCTCACCTGAGTTAGCGCTTCCTCTTGCTGACATCTTCAATACAGCCTTACATGAAGGTCATTTCCCCAAAATCTGGAAAGCTGCTACAATCGTCCCGCTTCCAAAGGTTCGAAATGCATCTGACGTTAATGATCTTCGTCCTATTTCGTTAACCCCTATTTTTGCTAGAATTTTTGAGTCATTCCTGACTAACTGGATTATGGAAGATATCACTAAGGAGATTGATGGTAAACAATATGGGAGTCGCAAAGGGTCGTCTACAACTCATTATCTTGTGGACCTTTTGAACCTGTCTCTTATACACATCTAGATGTGTATAAGAGACAGTTGTTACACTGATCTATGAAATGTTATCACAACATCTGATTTAGGGCGTACCTCTTCCGATCTTTAGTACCACTCGACTACCACTCGACTATGAGTGGCATTTCCGATTAGTTTTGAATTAGCAATTTGTGAGTAGGCAAGGAGTTGTTACTCCCTGGTGTAGATAGGCCTAGGCCCTGCTGTACGACATTCGACCAATAACAATATCCAATATTTCTTATTTGTAGTTTTTGCGCTTTATTTATTTATTTATTTTTACTTACGTTAAATTCCTAATACAGAAAATGATTGAATGACAGCCAGATATACTCCGTGGCGGAGTTAATAATAAAATTGAGGGCGCTATACTAACATATACAGATATACAGTTACAGTAGAGTTCACTCTAATATACAGGAACTCTCTAATATACGTACCATCACTATCGAGGTCACTATTAGGTAAGCGTTATGGGCGACACTACTGCAGGTTCATGAATAATTAAGTAGCAATATAAATTGAATATTCAAATTCAACACTATAAGATAAGAATAATGATGAGTATAATAATGATAATAATAATGATAATGTTGGTGGATGATTGGCCTGGTTGTTTGTATCTTTTGTGTATTGCTTTTGGATGCTGCTTTTGTTTTCATGTACTGTTTTTGTGTATCTTGCCTTTTTACTGTTTTCTTAATTGTTCACAGAGATTTCAGCTTATGCTGCCCTCTGTTTTTAATGTATTTTATTGGTGAATAATAAATAAACCTGAAAGAGATAGGCTTAAGATTGGGCACAATGTGTGGTTTTATGAACCACAAAACAACAATTATCGTGCACTCCGGAAAGTTGTGTTGAACATCAACAATCATAGTTTAAAATGCAGTCAGGCACAAACGCGCCTAAACGTGTAATCAGTCAACCATTTAACGGTGGGGGAGCAATGAGCTAACGGTCTCAAACATGAATAAACAGGGAATAAACAGGCGATAAACGCACCCCGGCTAAAGTTATTTCTGAGTGTGTTATAGGATAGCTAGTCGGAATACAATGTCGTTTGAAAATCGGTGGAAATGACGCCTAAATTGTGTTGTATATTCAACTGATTTCATCGGAGTCATAACGTCATTATTAGACGAATGACACTTAATATCTCTGTTGAACATTTCCAGCTTGTGTGTCATTAGTTTTTGTCGTCATGCTAGCTCGATGCTTGGTCTTGCTTTTTTTAAACAATAGAGAAAACACTCTCAGTCACTTTTGCTATGAAATATTACTGTAGTTTACGCCTAACTTCACGTACAAAAATTTCAGGGTCTGAGGGTATAAATAGAATCGTAGGGCAATTCTTGAAATGCATCTGCCACCTCGCAAAAAGACGATCTTGGTATTCAGTATTCCGATAATGGATGGGTCGTTCAAGTCAATCCGAAACATGTCTACAATTAAATCTTTTGTGCTATTTCTAAAATGTTATTTTTATACCGATACTGGTTTAATAATTAAGGATTTCACCTCAAGTAATTTAAACACTTTTTTAAAATTTTGCAGGCCTACCTGTAAATAGACGTTTACCACCCGCTTGTGTGCTGTGATTTTCATCTCCATTCTCATCTTCTGGAAAAGTAGAAAATACACAAATTATACAATAATTTTGGGTTTGCATTCCATACCATCCACCAAAATAGGCTAGGCCTTCTGGATCCTCCCCTAGGTAAAGAGCATTATATAATGTAATATGCCAAGATATTATTATTAAATTATAGTGTGACCTTTGAACTAAAGCTGTGAGCACCCATGTATGGAAGGTGTTGCCAGTTATAATCACCAAGCTTGATCAAAATCAGCCCAATCCTTTGCCACTAGTAGCGTTTTGTAATGTTGCCCGAAAAATAATTATCCAAAAAAAAATTACCCTTTGATGACCTTTGACCTAAAATCTCTGAACACCATCTCCCACAAATTCAGTGATTTGCATGTAAGGCCTGTAAGGTTTGTTGTGTACGTAACTTTTTGAAATAGTTTGTACTGTAATCATGAAGATATTTATGTAGAGGTTTATGATATAAGTAGACAGTTTGGTGAGTGAATGGAATTTGTTGCATAGAAGTATTTCATTGTGAAGAAATATATTTTTCCAAAGGCGCATTATAATTACGTATATCATTTTGTCTTTCTTTGTTAGTTAAACATGCCGCTTTGTTTGAGAAAGGCTAAATAACTTCTTGGCTGACGTCAGATATTGATGTATGTATATGTATATATATATGTGTATATATATGTATATATATGTATATATATGTACATACGTATATATGTATATACGTTACGCGTATACGTATACATATATATATACATATAGATACGTATATCTGTTTACATATAATAACCAAATTAGATTCCAAGTTTCTATGTGTTATGTTGTTGAAAAGAAAACACTTTTTTTAAATTTTGCAGGCCTACCTGTAAATAGACGTTTACCAACCGCTTGTGTGCTGTGATTTTCATCTCCATTCTCATCTTCTGGAAAAGTAGAAAATACACAAATTATACAATAATTTTGGGTTTGCATTCCATACCATCCACCAAAATAGGCTAGGCCTATGTGTAATGAAACACTTTGAGAAACAGGGTTTTAAATACAATGTACAGTATGTGCTCTGGTGCAACGACCCACAGGTCCACCAATGCGGCCGGGATGCATCAGGAATACACACCATCCTTATTTTACAAAAATAGGCTTATAATCAGTTACCAAAGCCATGGCACAAGACTTAACTGTGGTAAAGGTACAACAACAAAATTTTAATCATATGCAGCAACAGGTCAAAAGGTCAACACTAAATGCTTGCTCTAGTCAGGCCCTGGTGAATTAATTATCATACAGTAAATTAGACTTGCGACAAGTCTCTAATTTATGGATTTTTCATAGTATTAGCGCATTTCGGAAAGTGCCACCAGCATCAGTTTATGTTGAGAAACCTTTTTGATGAGAATTAGAGTGAAAAGAGTAAAGTAAAAGAGTGAGTCAAATCTATTGCAGACCGCTGGCTGTGACAAGCATGACGTAATTTTTAGGATGCCGTGTTTGGCAATAGGGTGAATGTTATGACGGAAGGTCAACCAATCAAACGGTTCTCGTTTTGGTGCCACGAATGTAGAGAGGAGTCAGGAAGTTGGGACATGGCCGGCTACGTGCAGGATACCTGTATAACCTACGGGTGCTGTTGAGGGTACGTGTTTATGTATTTTTAAAAACAAGTGAAATGTCCAAAAAAAAGGAGCAGCCCATCTGTATTCCCAAGAGCAAAGAGAAATTTGATTAGCGCGGCGAAACATGAAATCTGATAGCTATGGAGATCAGAACAATTAAAAGAATT